ACATACTTTGTGTCATAAAGCTCAGTTGATGTCTCTTTCTCTTCCTCTAGACTATGAGCTTGTTGAGGACCCAACCTTCCTTCTTTATATTCACAGTTCTTAGAACAGTGCTTGCGACACATGAAGTGATCAAAAATGTTTTGAATAGATAAAAGATAAGTGTCGAACAGAGTGACTGCAGAAGGTTCATAAGAGAGCTTTCACTGAGGTCAGTTATGAGGGAAGAAATACTTTTTTTAACCCACAGAAGAAGGAGGTAAAGCCATCAAGGAAAGGGATTGGACAAGGGGATTATAAAACTTCAAAGGTTTGGATGAACAAGAGAATTGTTCATTCATTCATGAATTGTTTGAGTAGTGCCTGGAGTTCCCTTTATTCCTCAAGGCAGGAGAATTCACTCTGAAGAAGTTTCTTCTCTTGTCTCTCATACTTTGGTAATTTTCCTTTCTGGCTTTCTCTTTACATTAGCATAAAAATTTCTATGTCTGCTTATTCAATATTTTTATTTCTCTAAAAACAAGAGCCCAGTGAGCGTGAGAATGTCCATGAGCTAGCTTGGTATTTCAAATACAGATAAGTCCAGACATTCTTATTTGATCAGTCTGTGCTCCTCTTCTACCCCCTCCCACCTCATGACTTCTTCGCTCATAGATCCACATTGAGAGGAAAATGTATAAAGGAATTAGGCAAACCACTTTGTTTTGAAATGACTGCTAAGATCTTTCTGGCCATTTTAGGTGGTTCTGTACTTCGATGGCCTCTTGTGAAGTAGATGCTAAGAACATGATTAAAGCTTGACATTTTTCATTCTCATATTTTTAAATATATATATTTTTTTAATCTCCTAGAATTATAATTATACATTGTTAAAGAAAGAAATGTACCTAAGTAACAAAGAAAAATTTTCTCTTGTCTTTGAAGGTTAAGTTTTCTCTTTTTTCATTGCTTTCATGGTTTTAAGGTGACTTAAAGCTAGAAAAGTTTGTAGACATTACTGAAAGATTTTATTCATTTGGATATTATTTGAGCAGAGATTTCACCAGTGCTTCTGGAACTACCTCTCTGTTATCAGCTACCTCCTCTGTACCACTACCCCTTCTCCAAATGCTTCCTCTAGTTTTTTGCCTTAACAGAGAATGACTCTTCCCTTACAACCACGTTCCTGACTTCCGCTCTTGTACTTTGAAGCCACTGTCCTTTCTGAACACTTCTCTTTCATTGTCTTGTTAACACTGCTCATTGGAGTCATGTGGCTCTCAGGTGTCCCCACCTTGTCCCCCCTTGTCACTGTTATTATTAAATTTCAATTAAGATTTTAGTTTACCTGAGATATTGACAATTAACTTACCGTCTTCCTCAGCCTTTCAAGCCCTTCCATTATCCTGAGACATGACAGCCTCTGAGCTCCTGGCTTTTCTCCTATTTAACAACTTTCTCCTTCACTCCCCTTCAGCTTCCATTTTCATGGTCACAACAGGATCTTAGCAACTGTAACTGTTCTACTTCCCAAATTGCTACGGCAAACATCTTGGTTGGCTTTCTTTCCAATTTGCTTTGCCAAGTATTCACAGTTACGGGATTCTTTAAACTCATCAGGATTCCAGTCTGTTGATTCTTTCTCTATCTTCTAATTCACCCTTCCTGTACTTTCTTCCCTTTTAATTTATTTTGCATCCCATGGTGTATCATTTCAATCACTCTTATTTCTCTTGATGGCAACCTAAATTCTCTAACTCCCCACAGGAGGTTTGGCATTGTCTGAACTCACTTTTGGTTGTCACGACTGGGGAGCAGAGCTACTGGCATCTAGTGGGGAGGGACAGGGATGCTGCTGACCACCCTGCAGTACACAGAGTGGACCCCGCACAGTAAAGGATTGTCTGATGCACAATGTCAATGGTGCCAAGGTTGAGAAAAGCTACTCTAGAGGTAGACTGAGGTTGTCACACATGCTCTCATGGGTTCACATGTACATCCCACATGCACATGCACAGACACACATGCACACACACAGTTAAAATTCCTTAGTAACTCCTCATACAGCTAAGACCGGAATAGTAAATATGGCCGTCAAGGTCCTTTGTGATCTAGCCTGTGTCCACCTTAGCAGGTCATCCAGCACCATGTTCTCTCTGTGGCTCCCTGCTCCAGCCACATTTCTGTCCACTGTGCTTCCTGTCCACCCAAGACATGTGCACATGTTCTCTCCACCTGGAAAGGTGTTCACGTTGCTAAGCCCTATTTTATCCTTCAAATATCAGCTGAAGATTCTTTCCTCAGGGGAGCTCGGCATAACCTTCCTCACTAAATTAATTTCCCCATTTCAAACACTCAGGGATTAGGTATCTCTCCCTCCTGATCTGCACGTGGTTGCATATTTGCATTGATTTATGTGCTTTATTACTTTTTGTTTCCCTTACTAGACTGGAAGGCACAGAAGATGAATAAAATTTCTTTATTTCAATTAAAATTACACTACAAATGCTTGGTTATTGCACGTTAGATGTTCGGTGACTAAATCTCTTCACATAATATATGAGAAAACTTAGTCCTGACAGATCAAGGGACCTGAGCAAGGGCACACAGCTAATAAGTGGCAAAAGGAGGGGACCTCGGTTCAATATTTTCATTATTAAGTGCTGCATTTTTCTCTTCTAAACTGGTGTTTTTTGCATTTGACTAAGCCAGTAGATTTATTACTCAAAGTAAATATGTTGTAGAAGCACAGAGCATAAACAGATTAAGAGATTAAGCAGCTCTCTGCTTTGATTAGAGACAGCTTGATTCCACCTCATCGAAGAAGTTCTTTTAGGTCCCTGCACAGGCGCCTCCTCACATCTTGCTAGAGAGTCAAAAACTTGCCTCAGAATGAATAGTATCTGATGGTTGACACTTGGAAACAGGTCTACCAACTACATTCATATGGACTGTTTGTGGGGTCCCTTACTGCCTCAGTATACAATATTTGTGAATTCAAAATGAAGAATGCCGATATAGTATAACTTAATGTCATTCCTGGCTGAAATATTTGCTTGGACAGTTTCATCAAATAACATTTCCATGTTTCTATAGGAAACAGACAGATGATCCTTTCACATCATCCATCGAGTCCACATACCACGTTCAGCATTTCAACCTTTGTCAACACTAAAGCTTTCTAAAGCAAATCAGTCCTTTCTGAGCATCTTCATTTTCTTTATTTGTCTTATTTTATTTTGGCCAACACTAGAAGTTGGATTAAATTGCTGAAACAAACATATCGCATTCATTTCATAACAGTCACCTTACAAGATGGTGGGAGAGGACACCAGAAGAACTGAGGTGAGATGCTGTGGTCATCCACCAGCTAGGACACCCACACACCATGGCATGTCTGACACTGTCTCAGCAGTGAAACACAGCCCTACTGCTATGAGCCTTCGGGTGTTTGATAATAGTTGGAAACACAAATGTTAAATGCAATGCACGCCCTGGCCGGTTTGGCTCAGCGGTTGGAGTGTCGGCCTGCGGTACAGAGAGACCCGGGTTCGGTTCCCGCTAAGGGCACGTACCTCGGTTGCAGTTTGTCCCTGGCCCTGGTTGAGTCGTGCGGGTGGCAGCCACTCGATGTGTCCCTTCACGTCGATGTTTCTCTCTCTCTCTTCCTCTCTCTCCCTCCCGCTCTATCTGAACAAAAAATGGAAGGATGTCCTCGGGTGAGGATAAAAAAAATAAAAATAAATGCAATGCACTAAAAAAATTAAAAAGTAGAAACATTTTTCTGTGTTTTTCTCCTATTAAGTGTTTTCAGTTCCAGTTAGAAGTCACAGGAATGAATATAGCATACATTATGTCTTTGGGGAGTATTTAAAGATGAGATGATTAAACACATACCAATATTTTGTAATTATTCATGTAATTTCATATACAGGTATATATATAAATGGTTATGAAAATTAAAAAAAAAAAACATGCCAAGAGATTATTTTTCCAAGAGCATTGCTTTTTTGCAATCATATTATTGATACATAAAATGTACCTAGTCTAAAAATGTTTTAGAATTTTTAGCTGTCTTTCAAACTTGACTCATTTATGTCTGTGTATTTAGAACATAGTAAAAGTGAAGAGTAATTCATCACGTCATTATTTGAGTGCCAGTTGTTTAGAAAACACAACCTCATGTACAAAACTCCAAAACTTATGAGTACGATTGAAAATATTTCAACATATTACTTTATTTTTTTAATGCACTATTGTTTCTCAACCTGTTGGCTTTTTTACATTATTTTTATATAATTAAAAAAATTCAATATAGTCTGATTGATTTGGTTTGTTTTATTAGAATTATATTACTCAGTCTGTAAAATAAGGAGCATTAGACTCCCTGTACTTGAAATATCCTTTATACTTTTTTTTCCTTGGGAACCTTTATCTCTCCAGTTTTGAATTAGGTTCTCAAAGAAGTAATTTCACAATCTTTACGAATTGCCAAAACATACGTACTGTATGGTGGCTGAATAGTTTGTAATTTGGGAGCTCTATAATTACTAAGATTATCATTATGAGGTGAGCATAACATTAAAAAAGCTCATTTCCTTCTGTCTGAAGCATATAATGTTGATATAGTGCTAGTTTCTGAAATCCCTGATGGATATTTCTCAGGCCTCGGGACGTGGCATGTATTAGCATATTCGGTTCTGTTGTGACCCTTATTTCCATTTTCTCCCTTTTCCAAGAGAAAACATAAGCCACATGAAAGAAGAACTAATTCGGAAGTGGAACTAGTGGCAAAAAAGTAAAGGGAGCACCAGGGGTGTTTGCAGTTCTTCGCTAAGTTACCAGAATTTCCCCCGAAGCATATTAGAAATTTTCACTGCAGAAACCCCCCTCTCTCTCACTGCTGCCTTCTAACCCCTCAAAACCACATCTGTTTCCCACTGATAGCTTGTAACACACATCCCTTTCATGTCCTCTCACAGGAAATGGAACTAGAGAGAAGTCTGTGTTCACCAACATTTAAGAGTCACGCCGGGAGCCAGTCTGATGATTCTGTGCAAGATCCGGACAAGAAAGACGAGGCAACATCTTTTGACAAGATACCACCTGACAGTGGTCACAGCCGCATCTTTGAAGGTTAGCAAAATAGTTTTACTTGACTTCTTGGGATCACACATTGTATAACATGAATGGTTAACAAATGAAATATATGAGGGTTTTATTTAAAAATTAGTAAGAAAAAAGATGATAGAAGATAGCTCAAGCAACACAGTTCAGGAAACATAGAGGTCTATTTAAATAGTTTTATTTGTATTATGTTTGACTTAAGTTTTAAAAACTAAATAAAATATATTTTAATTGATTATTAGCCAATACAACAAGCATTTTCAATATTAGACTTTTGGAACAATGCATTTGACCATCATATGACTTTTTGTTTGTTTGTTTATCGATTTTAGGGAGAGGGAAAGAGAGATAGAAACATCGATGAGAGAGAGCATCGATTGGCCGCCTCCTGCATGCCCCCCAACTGGAGATCTGGCCCACAACCTGGGCATGTGTCCTGACCGGGAATCGAACCAGTGACCTCTCGGTGCTCAACCAGTGAGCCATACTGGCCCGGCATGACTTTTTCTTTTGTGAAGAGAAACATATTTGTCTTCCTATCTGGGGGATAAAGAAAAATGATCAAATATACGTAACTGTCAGGCAAAATAAAAATTAAAAATACCTTCAGCATCTCCTTTTCAGACAATTAAACTAAATGTGCCAATGAATTTGGAATAAAAAGTAACATGATAGTGTCATCCTTTAAGGGAAAACCTCATAAATTTGATCAATGTTTTGCAATGTCATTAAGAAGTTAATAGCTCATATGTTAGAAATTACACTATTAATATAATTTTTCAACTATGACATAGTGCAAAATATAAATAAGTTATTAGAAAATACAGATATCATTTATCACTTCTGATTAGTCGCCTTCTGGATTTTTTCATTTTATTTATTTTTTATTTTTATTTTTTGCATTTATCTTCAGATAGAGCAGGAGGGGGAGAGAGAAGAGAGAGAGAAACATCGATGTGAGAGAGACACATCGAGTCGTTGCCACCCACACGACCCCAACCAGGGCTGGGGACAAACTGCAGCCGAGGTACATGCCCTTATCGGAAACCAAACCTGGGACTCTCTGGTCCGTGGGCCAACGCTCTAACCGCTGAGCCAAACCAGCTAGGGCTGGATTTTTCCATTTTAGAAAAGTAATGCATATCATATAGTATTTGTAATGTTTGTTAAAGATCATAATTAGCATAACTTTTAGAATAACATTTTCTGTATATATATTTATATATCCAACTGTCAAGTTGCCAGTCAACATGAGCAATGTGGCACAGTCTATGGAATATGACAGGCAGATTATAAGTTGGGAAAGCAAATGATACTCTGCTTTAAAACTTTGCTATTTAAAGTGTCATCTGTGAATCAGAGCATCACCTGGAGGCACATTAGAAATGCAGAACCTTGGACCCCACACCTGTCCTGATGAATCAGAATCTGCATTTTAACAAGATCCTCAGTTGACTCAGGTGCACATTCAAGCTATACAGTGTTCAGACTGAACCTCCGCGGGATCTACATATGAGTGAGCCCAGTCTGATCCCAGCTGGCTTATGCATGCAGTTTGAAGTGGGAGGTGGGAGTGGGAAGGATAAAGGAGAGTTTGCTAATGAGGAGATGGGCATGGATTTCTAACTACATGTAAATTGCGATCTCAATCTCTAGCTTTCATTTTCAATTCATTTTTGTATGCCCAATTGGTATCCTAATATGATCAGTGTTAGTCTTGAGGAATTTACTCCACATATTTCTGGCCTGTGATTAAACTTTATGTGCACTTGGCTAACTGCAAAAAAAAATTAGATTAGCAGAGGCCTGAACAGGGAAGTTGTAGGGAATGATTTATGTTCTAATGATGCCGGCCAGTGGAGATCTTAGCATAAGAAAGCAAATATAAGGTTGGCACACTGATCAAAACTACGTGACATGAAGAACTCATCTCACCTTACTTTTCTCCTGTGTTTTCTTTGGTTTCCATGCAAAGATTTCCAAAAGCCTCTTTATGTTACAAACTTCGGAAAGGTATTCTGGAAGGTAACTGTTATTTAGGATCAAGATATGACTTAAATGTAAGAGTGACCTCAAAGTGAAATTTCCAGGTATTTTAAAAGTATCAGGAGCTAAATTTGAAAACACAGGATGGGAAAATCGCACTCAGGATGAAGATAGCAGTGTGACAAATGTCGTAAGTGGAGCCATTTTGAAATGGGGCCAGAGCTGATATTCCGAGGAACGGCAGTGCTTGTCTTGTTCCTTGAACCCTTGGACTGGACCAAAGCACAATTGTTTTACCAACAGTTGTTCATAAAGACGGCAGGAAAGCAGACATGCTGACCAGGAGGACGGACTATGGACCTCCCTCCCAGTCTGACGCTGGAACCAGTAACCAATCCTGTGTAGCCAAGAGTAGCTCAGCCCGTCAGCACCAACAGGATTTTTTTTCTTCTTTTCACGTAATTATTCATATGCTTTATCTTATAAAAGCCCCTGGCTTTCAGGACACTATTTGGGTTTCTGCCTGAATCTATGCTTCTAGAATTGACAGCCTCACATACTAGTTAAAGATTTTAACTACCCTCGGCAAGTTTATTAAAAATACACCTTTAATAGATCACTAATATATAGCTCCCTAATGTTCATCGTTTTTATAATTTAGTCAAATCAATTGAAATTGATCCTTCCATCCCGGAACTCAGGAATAGAGAAGGTCGTGGGATTCGTTCGGCCCCTTTTCCTCAACTACAGCTCCCCGGGGGCAGCACAGAAAGGCACCAGCTTACCTCCTCCGCCCCTGACTCCTTCCTGGGTCTGCTGACCCACTCCCAGGCTGTGTTTAATTGTCCTCACCTCCCGCCCCGTTAGATCTGTCCTCCTTTCCTCAGCCGAGTGTGGGCGTCGGGTAAAGGACGGTGCTTCTTGTAGGCGCTGGTGCATTCCGTTCAGGCCTTCCGTGGGATGCGCGCGAACGTTCACCTGTTACCGTGATCCCAGGAAGACCTGGCTACTGGACAGTAAAAGCCCAATGCGACGAGTCCACAATTAGATAACTGTGGTAGGTGCGATAGGTATGACAGAAAAATAAATCTGTATCAATGGTTTTGACTAACTGTATTGTAGTTATATAAAAATCTGATCTAAGGAACTTCTTTCAGATCATTTAAACCAGTAAATTGAAAAGGGACTATTCAGAGTCCTAGATACTAATTTGCATAGTTGGCTCTACCTGTAAGTAGAGTAAAAATCTATTATTTTTGTGCTGAAAAATTCTGGCTCAGAGGATGCTTCAAATAGCACAGGTGATTGGGTAAATCAAACTTCTTCAAGTTTAAATTACTTGGGATTTTTAAATATGACAATTACCTGCTTTTCACTTTTATTCTCTGAACCATAATTTTAATATTAATCTTCTAAGTTATCAAAGTGTAAAATACTAACAGGTAAAATATACATCCAGAGTTGCTCTTTTAAGAGTTTTGTAATAAACCTTAGAAATTACCTGCTGTATTTCTCTTTTTATTCTGCTCCATTAAAGCTAAATTCATTTTTATTCTTAGAATGGCTATTCATCTTCTCTGGCAGATTTTACAAAACAACCTGAGGGTTCTGTTCTTTATCATATTCCATTTCTGTTGAAGTGGTGGGATCCTTTTAGTTATTAATGTTTCTAAAATAATTGATGTATGTGCAGTGTACATATTTGTGCGTGTAGAGTGATTGCTGTTTTTCACTTAAAATCATCACACACTTTAGAGTGATGCTTTTTGTGATAGACAAGTGTTCATGTGGGTGCTGTTCAAGATGGGAACCACAGTGGCTATGAAGCCCTTGAAAAGTTACAAGAATGACTCAGCAACTTAACTGACCATTTTATTGAATTTTAATTAATTTAAATATGAATAGTTACCACTTCGGACAGCACGGTTTTAGCAAATGTCATTTCTCCAAGGAGCTCGTCATTCATCCTTCTCATAGGCAGGGATCCAGCTGCTAATTATTCATGTTATGTTACCCTTTCTCCGAAAATGTGCCCTTATTAAAATGTGTATAGATAAGTGTACAGAAAATTCATGTCAGTAAAATAAATAAACAAATAAGTCGCCATAACCCACACATTAAAAAGATTGTCTTCTTTGCCCAGCCGGTGTGGCTCAGTGGTTGAGCATCAACCCATGCACCAAGAAGTCACTGGTTCAATTCCCGGTCAGGACACATGCCCAGGTTGTGGGCCTGATCCCCAGTGGGGAGCATGCAGGAGGCGGCTAATCAATGTTCTCTCTCATCGATGTGTCCATCTCTCTCCCTCTCCTTCTCTCTTTCTAATATCAATAAAGAAAAAAAGAAGATTGTCTTTAAGAGCTAGTGATGTCCTCTTCTCCAGAGTATTTCCTAGTGATAAAATTAAGAAAAAATAGTTTTCCCTTCTCAGCATGCTGAAAAACAATGCTTTTATCGTAGGCATACAAATATCTACTGTGGGGCTATGCATTTTCCATAACATCTCTAGAGGGCAATTGTTTTAGAAATATGAATCCTCTCAGGTCAAGAAGCAAACTGTTCTCTAAATACTTAAGGTCAACAAAGTTAAATAAAATGCAGTGACAGGATACTTTGAAATTAACAGAATCATTCCTTCAGTGAAAAGGGGCTTTATTTGGAAACAAAGAAATCAGGCATTTAGTCACAGAGCCCCTGCAGCAAAGGCCACCGGCCCCATTGGCTCTGCTCGGACTGATTTGTTCTCTCTAATGACTCTCAGAGGACAGGCTTTATAAGACCAGGTCTCGCCCTGGCCGGTTTGGCTCAGCGGTTAGAGCGTCGGACTGTGGTCCGGAGAGACCCGGGTTCGGTTCCCGCTAAGGGCATGTACCTTGGTTGCAGTTTGTCCCCAGCCCTGGTTGGGTCGTGTGGGTGGCAACCACTCGATGTGTCGCTTTCACGTCGATATTTCTCTCTCTCTCTCTCCCTCTCACTCTATCTGAACAAAATATCGAAAAATGTCCTCGGATGAGGATAAAAAA